TATTCCTTCTTGTGTTTTATTCCCAGCCAATTCATTAGCCACCATTCATAAATCATTGTAGATGCATATTTCAGGCCATCTCTCCTTCTATAGAAAGTGAAACATCATAAAGATTTCCCTTCACTACTGTTTTCAAGGGCTGTCACAGTGCAGCTGTAAGCAGTGGCAGTCTACTTCCAGCCAATACCAGTATATCTTGAAGATCTAACAGAAAACCAGACTCAAACCTTTTCTTACTTCATTAACTGGTCATGGGAAACCCCCCATGAGGTCATATCTATAGTTGAGGGAGAGTCAGTGAAGCAGTAGGAGCAGGTACCACGGGAGTCTAAGCCATCTGTTCATCCAGTTTATTTGTGCCTTCCCAAGACCTAAGTGGCCAAATCTCATTTTCATTTTACAATAGAATGTACTGTGCACATCCAATTTTATGGTTCGGTGGATCAGATCACACAATTCATGATGTGCAATACAAATTGCATAGTTGTGGCATCCTATGAACAGGTGTTCACTCTACACACTCCCAGTAACAAGTCTGAGCTACATTTCAAATGGAAAATAGTTATGGGTAGATAAATGCATGACTTAACAGGTCTATGTTGTTATTCCTTTATGACAGCTTTCCAGAAGTTCCATACAACTGTTCCATGTACCACAATACTTCCATATACCACTGGGTCTGTTAGGTCATAAATCCAAGTGGCTGGGCAATTTGAACCATAGCCTAGAACTAAAGCAGAGTCTTTTCTTGCTTAGAGATCAATTCAGTGCTGAGCCTTGTAGGCAAATAAGTAAATGAATCAAAGCGGCATGCCTAAATGTGGTATATATCTTCAAAATATCAGGCACACCACGCTTGTGCCTCATTGTTTGTGTTAGGAGTGCAAGGTGCAGCAATTTTACACTTTATAGTAGATTGTCTTACTTAACCCCAAATAACTAGACAAGATCACTAGACTAGAAACCACAGGGTTAGTTTCTAAGGCACCTAGAGTACTTGCTGCTTCCTGTTCATTAGATCCTATTAGCATAATGTTATCAGTGTAATGATGTTCTGTGAAATATCATGGAGCTCAACATCTCTACAGACTACAAAAATGACAGAGAGTAGGGTCTTTGACATAACATAAGGCAAGGCTGTTGTCCCTACCATTACTTGTGGTTTTCAGTTTTCCTAAGGAAAAAAAGAAAACGCATTGTTGCTGGATCAGAAACTGGATAATGGACACTACAGGCCATGTTTATTTGCTCCTATAAAGATCCCGTATCTGGAACTGGCGCTGTGATTGGCATCACCATCTGATTTCATTTGAGATCATCTACAGTGATATTCCATGACATGCTTTACTTATTCATGGGTCAAATATGGAGAGAATATAGAAATGAGATAGGAATCACCACATTTGCATTTTTATTTTATTTTCCCTTTTCACTTATCTCCCCACCCCACCTTTGGCAACCATCAGCTTATTCTCTGTAGCTGTGGGTCTTTTTCTGTTTGTTTTGTTTACTTATTTGTATTTTTTTAGATTCCACTCATATAAGTGAAACCAATCATACAGTATTTGTCTTTCTCTGTCTGACTTATTTTGCTTAGCATAATACCTTCTAGGTTCATCCATGTTGTCACAAATGGCAAAATTTAATTATTTTTTTTATTGCTAAGTGATATTACACTATATATATTTATATATATGTATCACATTTTATCTATTCATCTATCTATGGACACCTAGGTTGGTTCCATATCTTGGCTATTGTAAATAATGCTGCAGTGAATAGAGGGGTGCATATGAAGTTCCCAGTTAGTGTACATATTTGTTTTCTTCAGATAAATACCCAGAAGTGGAATTGCTGGGTCATATGTTAGCTCTGGTTTTAATTTTTTGAGGGGGTACAAGTAACAGGTTTATTTCAGAGACTTATACTAGGCTCTTTCTACCCTAAAAATCATCGTACTAGCTGGAGTTCTCATGTGCTTTTCTGCCAGTTGTTACTGAACAGCATGCTGGGACTGGAAACATAGCCATAAAATTAGTCTGTGGTCCCACTGGGTCCATTGTAAGACTGACTTGAATCACAATTTCATTGATCTCCTGACTCTATAAATCCTCAACCTGACCAGTGGAACACAGTGGTTTTTCAGTTTTCTAGAAATTAGCATCAATTTATAGTCAATATATTTTGTATCTGGAAATTATGAGTATTATCCTTTGCCCAGTGTAAAGTCATACTAGTAAATGACCACAGGTCCCTCTGGGAAAGGCCAGAGAGAAGATTCACAGGATTTATTTGTGGCCAAGTTAGGTGGGAATGTGTTCTGTTGTAATTGAATTTTATATGTAAAGGTGTATGTATCTTAGGTTGAACAGCTATGAGGATTCTAATGCACTATCAATTTACCTCAAATATTTTTAATCACCCTTCCCATACTGATAGTTTTATAAGTAGTACATCTTATCATTCCAAAGTGAAATCTATCAAACTACATTGTCTGGCTCCCTAGCAGCTGGGATGCATTTGAGTGGCTTTGGTTTGGGCAATCACATGCCAATATTCATGACTTTGATTTAGAGCTGAGTTTTATGGGGAAAGGGGCACACAATGAGCCATCTATTTTTTTTAAATAGACAATTGTTAGAACAGTTTTAGGTTCACAGAAAAATAAAGCAGAAGGTACAGTGGCGTCCAGCCCATATATATGCATTGCCTCCCACATTATCATTATCCCCTACCTGAGTGGTTCATTTCTTAGAATTGATGAACCTACCTTGACACATCATTATCACCCAAAGTCTATAGTTTACATTAGGGTTTACGATTGGCATGGTATATTCTGTGGGTATGGACAAGTGTTTAAGGACATATGTACATCATTATGGTATCATACACGGTAGTACTGCTGCTCTAAATAGCATCTGTGCTCTACCTATTCATCATCCCTACTCCAACCCTTGATCTTTTTACTATCACCATAGTTTTGCATTTCCAGAATGTCATACAGTTGGAATCATACAGTATGTACTTTTTCAGATTGGCCTCTTCCACTTAGTAATATGAACTTATTTTCACCATGTCCTTCCATGGCTTTATAGATAATTTTTTTTCAGCACTGAATAATATTCTATGTCAGGAGGTTCTACAGTGTTATTCATTCACTTTCTGATGGACATCTTGGCTGCTTCCATGTTTTGGCAATTATATATAAAGCTGCTAAAAACATTCATGTGCAAGTTTTTGTGTGGAATAAGTATTCAATTATTTTGGGTAAATGCCACAAAGTGTGTTAGCTGGATCACATGTAAAAATGTTTAGTTTTGTAAAAACTGCCAAAGTGCATTTCATAGTAGCTGTCCTATTTTGACTTCCTACCAGCTATGAATTAAGAGTTCCTTTTGCTCCACATCCTCATCAGCATTTGGTTTGTCAGTGTTCCAGATTTTGGCCATTGTAATAGATGTATAGTGATATCTCATTGTTGATTTAATTTGCATTTCTCTGACGACATTTGATCTTTTCATATGATTATTTGCCAACTGTTTATATTCTTTAGTGAGCTGTCTGTCAAAGTCTTCGGTCCATTTATTTATTAGGTTGTTTTCTTATTGTTGGATTTTAAGAGATCTTTGTATATTTTTAATAAAAGTCCTTTATCACATGTCTTCTGCAAATATTTTCTGCCAGTCCGTCACTCGTCTTTTCACTCTCTTAATGGTGTCTTTCATGTAGCAAAAATTCTTAATTTTAATGACGTTGGCTTATCAATTCTTTATTTAATTAATTGTGCCTTTGATATTGTATCTAAAAATCATCACCCAACCCAGGGTCATCTGTTGTTGTTTTTTTCATGCCGATTATGTCAGCGAAAGCATATTTTCAAGTTGGCAGCTGGTGTATCAGCTCCTAATTTAGTAGTGCCTGAACTGTGGCAGGAGTGGGGTACTTCGGTCACTAGTAGCTGTGCCAGTTCCCTGCTAGCCTCCTGCGCTAGAGCTTCCTGATTGTGGTATTGGCAGCAGCCTCTGTGGAGGAATAGTGCTGCAGTGTGACTAAAAGTCAACCCAGCAAGCCCAGCCCTCCCATGATTAACTGACTTATCTATATATTCCTAAATAATGTTCTTTCAGCTTAAATTTGAGTGGATTCTGTTGACTTTAAGTAAGAACACTAAATAATACAGCCCCTGATTTTTTATCACCCCATATTCTTTTATTTAAGGGCTGATTGTGACACAACAATGATGTTTCTCACCAAATGATCTGAAGCCATGTTAGATTGCATTAATATTTGCAAGTTCCATTTGAATTGGTAATCAGATCTTTGTGACACACTTTAGGAGGAGTCATATTTATAAACTAAAGCATATCCACATAATAAATATCAGGTTGAACTCAAGACACAGTGTTTCAAGAAAAGTTAGAAAACTGAAAAGGTTTAACCTAAGTAGAACTAGAATAAATTTGAACATTATGTTTAAATACTTGAAGAGCTGATATGTAGTATAAATATACTTTAAATTTTATGCTCTGATTGACAAAGAAGAATCAGTAAGGATTCAGTAGGCTGTGAGTCAGTCAAGGATAGATACAATTTCTTCCTTATTCCTTACTTTATCTAATCATAGTGTTTCATGTAGTACCTCAATATAATAGATCTTCAAAAATATCCTGATTGAATTAATAAGGGGTTATATTTAGAATTTAATATAAAAAAATGGATCTTTCAATAATTTTAGCAGCTGTTTGAAATAAACTGCTGTTCCCAGAGAGTTCTTCCTGTCACTGTATATTTTTAAGCAGATGCATAATAATCACTTACTGAAAATATTATGGAGTAGATGCCTACACTTTGCAAGATGTGCATTAGATGATGTAAAAGCACCTTGAGTTTAGGCAAACTACACCCTGAATCCCTCCTCCATTACTACTGGAGGTTTGTGGGATGATTGTTGGGGAAATCTTGTAGTGGAAAAATCCCTACACACCTCATATCCCGCTTACCTTGTTCACAATCCAGAAGATGAGTATCTGTGGTTATCCATCCTCATCTGTTTCAGTCTTTCTACTGATGTATATGTCCTATGTTCTCACACCACATCACACTGATTTTCCAAATATGTCAATAAATTCTATCCATTTCCTTGACTAAAATGAAACAAATAAATGCTCCATGGAAGCAACAACATTCTTTCTGCATAGCACCACCTGCTCAGTTTCCCAAATGAGAACTGAGTTCTTCGATTCCTTCATATCCACTACCCACAAATTAAGTCTCATCTATTTTTCCCTTCTAAATATCTCTGGATTCCATTCACATATAAACTGTAAAAACATCACTAGCTCAATGCATCATCATTTCTTACCTGAATTTTAGTGCAAGAGCCTTTGAAGTGATCTCTATAACTAGTTTGCCTTAAAAATAAAATAAAAATAAAAACTTTCTAAAGTGTAACTTTGATTATGGCACTCTTTTCTTTCAGAAATTACTCAGATATATGAACCTGTCAATTTGACAGTGGTCATTTTATGAGTCCATTGTTTTTACCTTTGAGATCGTTTTAAGTGCAAATGCTCTTTAAACATATGTATACATCTGTAAAAACTTCTCAATGGTAAACATTTGAACATATCCATCAACCCTCAAAATCTTCATGCTATTTTGTAATGCTAACCTTCAGTACATTTATGCTCTCACCCTCCCCCACTTTAGCACAGCAACTACTGATCTCCTTTATGTCATTCTCAATTATTTTTAATTTTCTCAAATTTTGCATAAATGGAAACATATACTTGTGCTCCAATGGTTGTGCTAATTTCACAGAAAATAAATACTTTGAGAAATACGAAGTTGGACAATTAATTCGTGAACTCATCCTAGAAAAAGTGTAACATACCTCATTGCTGAATATCACTATGGTCACCCGTGAAGTACTCCCCTTGGGAAGCTATGCACCGACACCAGCTTCTAGTCCACCCTTCAAAGCAATTTTGGAACTCTTTTTTTGGAATGGCCATCAGAGCTGTTGCCATATTATCCTTGATGTCCTCAATGTCATCAAAATGTCTTCCTTTAAATATTTCCTTTATCTTTGGGTAAAGAAAGAAGACATTGGGGGTGAGATCAGGTAAGTAGGGAGGGTGTTCCAAAAGTTATTTGTTTACTGGCCAAAAACTCCCTCACAGACAGCGCTGTGTGAGCTGATGCATTGTCGTGATACAAGAGCCATGAATTGTTGGCAAAAAGTTGAGGTCATCTAACTTTTTCAAGCAGCCTATTCAGCACTTCCAAATAGTAAACTTGGTTAACTGTTTGTCCGGTTGGTACAAGTTCATAATGAATAATCCCTCTGATATCAAAAAAGGTTAGCAACATCTTTGCAACTAGTTCGTGAACTTAATTGTCTGACCTCGTATGTATGCTGTTGCATATACTCATAGTTTATTCCTTTTTATTCCTGAATATGTATGAATTTACTATGGTTTGTCCATTCCCCTGTTCTTGGGCACTTGAATTGTTACTGATTTTGGCTATTACATTAAAGTTGCTGTGAATATTAATGTAAAAGCCTTGGTATGGGCATGTTTTCATTTCTCTTGGTTAAATATTCAGGAGTAAAATGATTGGATTATATGGTAGAAATATATTTAATGATCTGTTCAAAGTTTTTCTAAAGTGGTAATATCATTTTCATTCTCACCAGCAGTTCACGAGAGTTCCAATTTCTCCACACCGTTACCAACACTTAATATATTCATTTGTTTAAAATAAGTCTTGAAATCATGTACTTTGAGTTTTCCCAATGTGCTATTATTTTATAAAGCTGTATACTTAACTGAAGATATTTGCATTTGCATATCAATTTTGTAATTTATTTTAACAATGTTTTGTAGTTTTGAAAGTGTGTGTTTTGTAATTCATTAAATTTATTCCTAAGTAATTTACTAGTTTTGATGTTATTATAAATGCAATTGTTTTCTTAATTTCATTTTTGAATTGTTCATTTGTTGTGTACAGAAATATAATTGATTATTGTAAATCGATCTTGTTTAATCATGTATATAAATTTTGTATCCTATAATCTTGTATAATCTGTATATAGGGTACAAAGGCCTAAGGAACTTACTAAAAGTATTAGAATTATAATAAATGGATTTCAACATTTTTACTCTGATATGTCTGGGTTTTAATCTCATTCCATTTATTCTACTTGGAATTTATTGAGATTCCTGGAAGTATAGGTGAATGCTTTTCATCAAATTTAGAAAGTTTTCAGCCATTTTTTCTTCTTCTCTGTTCTATCCTCTTTTTCTGGTACACCACACTTTAGTAACCTCTGTTCATCTTTTCATTCTTTTAGTTTCTCTGTTCTTCAGGTGGCACAATTTCTATCTTTAAGTTCATTACTTTATTTTGAGCCATTGCATATCTACAGCTGAGCCCCCCTAGTGAAATTTTCATTTACTGTTCAAGCACTTTTTAACTCCAGAACTTCCATTTGGATCTTCTAAATTACTTCTATCTATTGATATTCTCTCTCTCTCTCTCTCTCTCTCTCTCTCTCTCTCTTTCTCGACTGATTCATTCATTTATTTTACTTACACAATATTAAGTTTTTACAAGGAGGAATGTGTATAGATATAGTCCTAATTCTTAAAAAATTTGTACATCTTTTATAATGGTGGGATTTAATTGGAACTGTAGAAGGGTGCCACAGATGATGGAATAATCTTTATCAGGTTAGGAAATAACATAAAACACATATGAAAAAGGCAATTTATAACTTTAGTTGAACAAGCACAATTTTATACCACAAATATTTTAACAAATGTACTTTCCTATAACAAACATTCATAGACTCACATTTAAAAATCTGTCTTCCTTAGATTACTTTTTTTATTATTAAATTTATTGGGGTGACATTGGTTAATTAAATTATGTAGTGTTCAAGTGTACAATTCTATAATACATCATCTATATGTTGTATTGTGTGCTCACAACCCAGAGTCAGTTCTCTTCCCATCACCTCATATTTGACCCCTTTCCCCTCTTCTACCTTTCCCCTTTCCCCTCCTTCCTTTCCCTTTGGTAACCACTAAAAAAAAAAAAAAAAAAAAAAAAAGGCTGACAGACACAGAACACAGATTTTTATTTTTATTTTAAATTAAATTTATTGGGGTGACCAAAATATTTAAAGAATTCATATAACTCAACAACAACAAAAATCTAATTTAAAAAATGGACAGAGGACCTAAACAGACACTTCTCTCAAGAAGGCACACAAACGGCCAACAGATATATAAAAAAAATGCTCAACTTCACCAGCTATTAGGGAAATGCAAATCATAACCACAATGAGATACCACCTCACGCCTGTTAGAATGGCTATAATCAACAAGACAAGTAATAACAAGTGTTGGAGAGGCTGTGGAGTAAAAGAAACCCTCATTCACTGTTGATGGGAATGCAAATTGGTACAGCTATGGAAAACAATACAAAGATTTCTCAAAAAGTTAAGAATAGAATTACCATATAACTCAGCAATCCTTTGTCTGGGTATCTACCCCCCCAAAAAAACCCCATCTATTGATAATCTTTATTTGACAAGACAATATCATCATACTTCCTTTCCTTCTTTAAGGTTTCCTTTAGTTCTTTGAATACTTTTGTTCAATAATTTTAGTTCTTTTGAAATATTTTCTAAGTGTAACTACCATCTGAGTCCTCTCAAAGGCAATTTCTACTTCCTTGGTTTTGTTTTGTTTGTGGGTCACATATTCTTGTATCTAAAACATCATTGATAACTCCAAGGTCATCTAGGTGGTCTTCTATATTATCTTTCAAGAGTTTTGTAGTTTTGCTTTTTGTATTTAGGTCTATGATCCATTCTCAGTTAATTTTAGCAAAGGATATAATGTTTGTTTCTAGATTATTATTATTATTGTTTTGTTGCGGTGGAGGTATGTATTTGACCAATTGTTCCAGTACCATTTGTTGTAAACTCTTTTTTCTCCACTGAATTACCTTGGCTCCTCTGTCAAAATTCAGTTGATTTTATTTGTGTAAGTCAATTAGTGGGCTCTCCATTCTGTTCCATTGATCCATGTTTTAAAATTATTTTGTCAATACCACATTGTCTCGATTACTATATCTTGATAGTAAATCTTGAAGTTGGGTAGTATCAGCCCTCCAACCTTGTTCTTCTCCTTCAATATTCTATTGACTACTTTGGGTCTTTTGCCTCTCATATAAACTTTAAAATCAGTTTGCCTGTATTCACAAAATATCTTGCTGGGATTTTTATTGGGATGGTGTTGAATCTATAGATCAAGATGGGAAGAACTGACATCTTAATAATATTAAACTTACTACCCATGAATATGGAATATCTCTTCATTTGTTTAGTTCTTCTTAGTCTACTTTCATCAGAGTTTTGCAGTATTCCTCATGTAGATCTTGTGTATATTTTTTTAGATTTATACCTAAATATTGTTTTTCGATACTAGTGTAAATGGTATTAAATGATTATTTATTATCATTTTCACCAGTGTGATTGCTTCACTGGTAATCAGGTCCATGGAGCACATCATGCCACCATTCTAAACTGCACCTCTCGTCAGAGCTGAGCCAACCTGGCATTCTTGGAATAAACATATACTGGTTAGGATGTCTTATCCTCCCCCCACACACACAGTAAAACCTTGGATTGCGAGTAACTTGGTTTGCGAGTGTTCCACAAGACGACAAAACATTTCTAATACATTTTAACTTGGTAAACAAGCGATGTCTTGCAATACGAGTAGTTTGTTTCCAGAACGAATTATGCTTGCAAACCAAGGTATTACTATACAAACACACACACACACAAATGATTATATATAATATATATGATCATATATAATTATATATCATATATATGATATATATTATACATATGACTCATTTTGCAAAATTTATCTTGAGAATTTTTTCATCTGTGTTCATCTGGAATATTGACCTGCAGTTTTATTTTCTTGCAATGACTTTCTAAAATTATTTATCATGGTCATCCTAACTACTTATGCTAAGGAAGTATCTCTGCTTTTTCAGATTGTGCCAGTGTTTGTTTAGAATTGATATTATTTCTTCCCTAAATTCACAAATAAAGTAATGTGAAGCTGAGTTTTTATTTGTAGAATGACTTAAACTAGTTTCAATCACTTTAATAGATATAAAAATATTCAGGTTATCTAGTCTTCTTGAGTAACCTTTGGTTGTTTTTATCTTTCATGAAGTTTGTTCATTTTACCTATGCTGAAAAATTTATAGGAATAAAGTTGTTTATTATATTACCTAGAAGCCATTCATATCTGTAGAATCATGTTGCCTCTCTTCTAGTATTAGTAATTTGTTTCTTCTTCCTTTTATTTTTCCTTGTCAGTTTGGCTAGAGGTTTATCAACTTCATTGATATTTTCAACAAACTATAATAGCTTTTGTTTCACATTTGTTTTTTATTTCTGTTTAATTTATCTCAATTTGATCTTTGTTATTGCTTCATTCTAATTACTTTAGATTTCCTTTACATTTTCTAGTTTTAGGGAAGTGTGGATGTGTGTGTGTGTGTGTGTGTGAAATGAATGTCATTAATTTGAGAAATTTTCCTGTAAAATAGGTATTTAATAATACAAAATTTCCGTTATGTACAACTTAGCTGTATCACACATCATATGTAATGTTTTCATTTGAAAATGTTATGTTCAAAACATTTTGATTTCCCTTTTAATTTTTTTCCTTGACTTTTGGTTATTTAGAAGTGTGTGTTGTTTCCAAATATTTGGGGCTTTTTCAGACATAATTCTATTATTAATTTCTACTTTTCATATCTAAAAGGTTGATTTTTTAAAATATGTCACATTTCTACTTAATTTTCTGAACATATTAAACTACATGATGAG